CGCGAGTCCGGTGTCAACAGGGCACGCCCTCCCGCCTGTCCCTTGTTTGATTCGACGTTTCGTATAGATACTACCCGTCTCGACTGAGTAACCAAACCCACCTGGAAGGAGGGGAGCGAGGATAGAGGGGAGTACCGTAGAGGAGAGGATGAGCTGGCACTACCTCTCAAAGACTAACAGAGTCTATACCTATACACCAAAGTCACAGTATCCAGTCTAAGTTCTAAGTTACTGTACCGACCACCGACAACAAACTGTCACGTCCATCTAACCTACCATCTAACTCTCCGCCCCGGATCGGTCGTGCGTGCCCTGTCAACAACACGAAACAATGGACCAGCACTCGGGAGGACGCCTGGTGGGGCTTTCCCTCATTTTTAGTACGAGTAAATGGATGAATGAATCCCTAGGAATGAGGTTGCTTCTTCCTGCTCAGATGTGTAAATTCCTCCAGCCTCATTCTGACCACTCGAACTCAGCCAACGGGGCGCACACGAGAGGGAGATGAACAACGAGTGACAAAAGTGACGAGTGGGAAGTCCTTTGTGCTAGGTTGCTAGCCTAGTTGTTAGCTTTGGAACTGGGTTTCTGTCTGTCTCTTGGGGCCCGGGGGGAGGCTGGAACCAGGGTCAGGATCTTGGTCTGTTGCTCGAACCGTCGCAGGCCATATGGAGAATTGCCGCCCCGTTCCAATCCAGCAATCCCGGGGAGGAACTGGTGTGTGAGAGAGAGAGAGTGTGTGTGTGAGTGGCAGTTTTGGGTGCCAATGAGACAGACGTCTCCAGAGGGGGCGGATTTATTCATCCCAGACTCTATCTCATTCCCAGTTGCATCCCGTGTGCAGCCAATGGGTTTCCAGGGGGGCGTGAGCCTGTCGAAACCTTTCCCATCGATTCCGCCCGGGCCAGGCTGGGAAGTGGATTTGTGGTGTGGGAGATTGTGGATTGTGCATGATGTGAGTGGAGCCCTTTTTTGATTATTTTGGGAAGAATTAATAAATCTGGGTGGTGGTGGTGGTGGTGGTGGTGGTAGTGGTCCAAAGGAACAAGACCTGTCACACCTACACCGCCTCTGCAGTTGAAGATGTGAGATGTGATGTTTTGATGATGCGGATGCTGATGATGTTGTGGGTTATTGATGATGTTGTGATTGTTATTGTGGTTATTGTGGTTGTTGTGGTTATTGCTGTTTTGCTTCTGCTTCAAGCTATAGCTACTGCAGAGTGGTGATTGTAGATGTAGGTTCGTGGCTGTACAAGATATACTTCTACTCCGGAGTGGTGGTTGATCTTTGTTGTGGTTCCCTTTCTATTGTCTGTCTGCTGACCTCTTCTTCCTTTCCTTTCCTTTCCTTCCCTTCCTTTCTTCCTTTGCTTCCTAAGGTTTCCTTCCCTCCCTTCCGGCTCTGTCCGCAGTCTGCACACCACACACATTTCCACACTTTCACACTGTCAAAGCATTCTACCTCTTACGTAGGAGAGGCCAGAAAGAGGGCAGGGTGGAATGGGAAATCATGGATCCGCCCAGGCTCAGCTCTTTCATATTATTGTTCGCCTCCCTCGGACCCCCACCCACTTGCTATCCAGTCGCCATCCAGTCTAAGCATCATACATTGTTAGTCGAGTGGAGTGTGGGGTTCTTAGTTCCAGACTGTAACCCCGTGTGATTCGCCTGGGAACCGCTGCGGTGGCTCTGGCCACGAGTCTAAACTCCGTGGAATTATTAAGTGTAAGTGCAGTGAATTAATTCACATTTCACCACCTCCTTATCATCACCCGCCCATCTTTTACTACGCATAGTAATCCCTAGTATTTATTCCATCGGCCCTGGTTTATTTTTACTGTTTTACTGTTTTATTGTTTTACTGATCTACTTGGTCTGACTACTTATTTTTACCTACCGACCTACCCTACTCTACCTTCCCCGTATTGATTCTCCCGTCCCTCCCTCTCTCTCTCTCTCTCTCTCTCTCTCTCTCTCTCCTTTTCCCTCGCCCGTTCCCCCCTCTTCCTCTCTCTCTCTCCCTCTCTCCCTCTCTGTCCGCCCGCCTGTCTGTCTCTGTCTGGTTCCGCGTCTGTTTTAGTCTCTGTCCCTCCCCCTTTCGAACGGTGTATCAGCTTTGTGTCTCTTCTTTCCTTCTATACTTATATAGTTGGTGCACATTATCCTCCCCCCTCCCCTCCTCTCCACCCCTTTCCCTTGCGCATAACACAACAACTCACATACACATCCCTCCCACTCTTCACTCGCCTTACTCGCCTTACTCGCCCATCATTAACAGTCCGTCCATCTGGCCCCCATCGGAACTACAATCTTCTGGATCGCATCCCTGGCTGTACAACACTTCCTTCCGCTCGGATTGCCACTGGTTTCTTACGCCTCCCCCCACTAATAGAGAGGCAAAAAAAAAAAGAAACAAAAAGGACAAGGAGATTAATATTCCACTCGCACCTCGACACACCATCCATTGGACATTCACCCCTAGGATCTTGATTGCCCTGCCTATTTGATCAACCTCCAGATTCCATTCCTTCAATGGCTCCCTGAAGTATCTCAACTGGACAGAAAGGCGACTACTCCCTCTTTTCCGTTCCTCTGGACCTTGGATAACTTTGACCTTGACTTGACTTGACCTGAACCACCGTCCCGCCACCCGGATTTTGGACCCCAGGATTTATATCAACGATCCCTTACTGTGTCTCTGCTTCCTTCGCCCTTCACTTTACATTGACAGAGACTCGTGTGTCTGACACCAGTCTCTTCAACCTCCCGTCCTGATGCTCATGCTTCCCCCTTCCCCCGTCTACGGCATGTATCCCCCCATGCTGCCCACTCCGCCCCCCACTCCGCCCGCCCGCTGCTATGCTCCGGAAGACCGCTTGGGACTGCTCCTGGCCAACCGGCTGGAGCTCACCAGCATCCTGGGCGTAGGCGCCTATGGTGTGGTCTACACGGCCGTCGACATTCATACCAATGTCCTGTATGCTGTCAAGGCCCTCAACAAGTCCGGACTGGATGCTCGCCAGCTCAAGTTCCAGCAGCGGGAGATCAAGCTCCACCACATGGCCAGCCAGCACCCCAACGTGGTCTCCTTGGTCCGCATCATGGACTCGGTGGACTGCACCTATGTGGTCATCGAGTTCTGCCCCGAGGGGGACCTGTTCTCCAGCATCACCGAGAAGGGCAACTTCGTGGGCAACGACCTGCTGGTAAAGCGCGTGTTTCTGCAAATCCTGGATGCGGTCCACTTCTGCCACTCGATTGGAATCTACCACAGGGATCTGAAGCCGGAGAACATCCTGGTGACAGACCAGGGCCTGACGGTCAAGCTGGCGGACTTTGGTCTGGCGACCACCGACTATCTGACATCCGACTTTGGTTGCGGGTCAACCTTCTACATGTCTCCCGGTATGTTCGGGTTCTATTTTTTTTTGTCTTTCGTCTGGGTAGTCTAGGGAGACCAGGCCAAGGATTGTCATGGACATCAGCTGACTGATTTTAGAATGCCAGCAACCAAATTCGCGATCGGTGACGTGCTACGAATCAGCGCCTAACGATGTGTGGAGTCTTGGGGTCATTCTGGTAAACTTGACGACCGGCCGCAACCCGTGGAAGCGGGCCTCGATCGAGGACTCGACGTTCCGCGCATATCTCAAGGATCCGTACTTCCTCAAGTCCATCCTGCCCCTGTCTGATGAAATGATTTGCATCCTAAGCCGTATCTTTGAGTGCGACCCTTCCAAGCGGATTACCATTCCGGAGCTCCGCCAGGTGATCATGGATTGCCCGCGGTTCACCATGAACCCTGTTATCCCCTGGTCCAGCGGCCCCGTTGACTATCTCAACCCCGTTCCCGGGCCCGTGGACACGTTCAACACGCAATCTTCCGTTTCCTCTGGATCCTCCCAGTACTCTGACTTTTCGAACTCAGTGGTCTCCAGTGCTTCATCCTACACGGAAGGCTATCCCGACATGGACAGTGTCTCGTCGATGTCTTCCGTGGGATTCGAGACTGAAGACTGCAAGGACTTCTACCCGTCGGAGCCGATCCAGGCTTCGGAGGGACACGTCATTCCTTTCAGTTTGATTCCTGTTTATTGAATCAACAAGAAAAAAAAAACAAAAAAGCACTTTACGCAGGTCACGATTAACGGCATTTGATATCCGTCTCTACTGGGTCACTGTTCGACTGTATTTTTCCACAGGACATCCAGGAGATTTTTCCGACACTACATTCTTTGGACATACGCCTCCTTCCGGATTGGATTTATTATACCCTATTTGTTTGGCATAAATTGCCTTTTAGTTGTCAGCTACAGCCTTGGTCTTGGGGAGCGGTGGCCGTGGATTGTTTTAATAATGGTTACACTTGGGTGGAATTTTGCTCGGGTTGACTCGGGTATACACTTGTTGGCGTTGAATTGGGCGATGGCATTGAAAGAAAAGAAAATACCCCGGATTTGTTGGAGTTGCCTTTTGATTTATACATAATTACATAGTCTGAGTTGATTCGACTTGGCAGTTTGTTTTTCCACTACTTGGCAACTACTTGGCCTTACACTTGACAACGTTATGATGGATATACTTCTACTTGTACTTTTACTTGGTCCTGTTGCAACTGTTGAGTTAGGTAGATGCTGGCTTGTGTTACTGCTGAGGTCATCGTGATGTTAGGCAACTGCGACTTGTTGTTGCCTATGTGTACAGTACATTAGAGTATTGAATGCGACTTCTGAATCGCACTACATTCAGCATGTTTCATAGGTAGCTCCCTAGGAAGTCTGCTTCAGCGTAAGTATACTGGGCAGAATATGGCCAAACTCCGTAGCGCTCCTTTCTACATCTTAGTAGACAAAGCTCTTACCCTGTTGTTATCGGTTATTACTCTTATTCACTAATGTACTAGAGACAGACTGCACTCGCTTGCCACTCCACCATGCATGTACTATATGTACAGTACAGTACTGTACCATAGCATCTACCAGTATAGACAGACCCCATCCCACACATTCCTCCCACTATCTACAGATACAGATACAGATACAGTACAGGCCCCCCCCCTCTCCCCTCCAATACCACCCAGATCACCCAAACCACCCAAACCACCCAAACCACCAAAAGATCAAAGCTCGGAGAAAATCTACATATTCCGCCCCCCCGTCACCCGGATCGTCTCCCCGGTCACATACGCAAACAACGGACTCGCCACCGCCAACACCACCCGCGCCGCCTCCTCCGCGCTCGCCGGCCGGCCCAGGGGGATGTCGGGATACTGTCCGCCGGGCCCTTTCCCGTTGCCGTCCCCGTGGCCATTCCCATCCTCCTTCCCTTCTTCATCCGAAGCACCGCCCCGACGCGCCGCCAACTGCGCCCCCGGGATCCCCAGCGCCACCCGCTCCCCGGCCGCCGTGACCATCACCGCCCCGTCCTCCTTGGGCGCCGTCAGGCGCGTGCGCACGTGCCCGAACGCCACCGTGTTGGCGCGCACCCCGAACCCCGGCCCCCATTCTTTGGCGATCGTTTTGGTGAGGCCCGTGATGGCGGCTTTGGCGGTGCTGTAGTTTGCTTGGCCTCTATTTCTTCTTGTTAGGATTCAGTTTGAGTTGGTTTGGTTTGGCTTGGGGTGGGGTGGGCTTAGGGGGTTCGGGGATTGGGGATTGGGGATTGGGGATTGGGGGTGAAGGGATAGGGTTGCGTAGGGTAGGCTGGGCGTTGCTTTGCTTTGCTTTCACGGGGAGAAAGGAGGGAGGGAGGGAAGACTCACGCGTTCCCGTGCACCCCACTCGTCGAACTGATATTCACAATACACCGGGCGTCGCCGTCTTTGACTCGAAAGAACGGGGCGGCGGCGCGCACGAGCTGGAAGGGCGCGGTCGCGTGGATTGCAAGCATGGTGGTGAATTGGTGGGTTGTCATCTGCCTTCTTATTAGTCTTCCTCATGGGAAAAAGTGTGTGTGTGGGGTTGGGCTTGAGGGTAAAGCTGGTCAGGATCGGGCGGGGCTGGGCAACCTTATGAATCACCCCATCCCACGTAAACCCCGCGTTATTGACGAGGATGTGGATCTTGCCGTTCCCAAACGCGGCCGTCTGCTGGATCAGAGTCGTGAGGTAGGTTTCGTCGGTGAGGTCGCCGGGGATGGCGAGGGCGGTGTTGGCGCCGTGCTGGGTGTTGAGGGCGAGGGCGAGGGCGTGGGATTTTTCTGTCTTCGAGTTAGAAATCTTTTCTTTCTGGGGGTTCTGGGTGTGAGGTTGATATTGCTTCGGGGTGGATAGGATAGGATAGGATAGGATAGGATAGGATAGGCAGGGCTTGCAAGCCTAATGGTCAAGGTAGGGGGCTAGGTAGATAGGTACAGTACACTCTATCGCCGGCCAGATGGAGTAGAGGTAGTAGGGTAACCCCCATCTCCGGCCAAGGAGAGGGAGGGCAAAGCAGCAAGCAAACTCACCCCCATCCACATCCGCAATGACCACGCGCGCCCCCTCCCTCGCGAACAGCCGCGCGGTCTCGGCGCCGATGCCCTGCGCGGCGCCCGTGATGAGCGCGGTCTGGTGGGCCAGGAGGCCCTGGGGGTAGGTGAGCTGGGTGGTGAGCTGGGTGAGGCGGTTCATTTTCTTTTTGGTGGGGAGATGGTGATGTTGAATGGTGTTATTTAGATAGGAGGTAGAGTATATGTGTGGAGTGTGGTGATGCGGTTATGCGGGGAATGGGCTGGGCCGAGGCTTCGGTCTATACCTCCTCCCATACCCACTACCCACTACCCGAGAACCGGTCTTTCGGATATAGCTTGCGATGCGGATAATGAGAACTTGACGTTGGGGTTGGCATTGAATTGACATTGAATTGACATTGAATTGACATTCACATGACATCGACACAAAACGTGGTGAGCACTTCTTACGCCTACAACTACCACATCGACCGACTAGACAGACATAAACTCGGACAGAAAGTGACCTGGCCTGAAAGTTCATCAGGGTCACACATTGCTTACGTTGTTACAATCCCAGGTAGTATTCCTCCCTCCACCCCCCTCGTGTTGACTTGTAGCACTCTTCTCATATCCCTGAGTCCGTTCGTCGTTCGTCGCTCGTCGCTCGTGTTGAATTTTCACCACGAAAACAATTGGATTAACCCCCCCCAAAAAACCACTTGCAATTGTACTACACCACACCACACCACACCACACTCACCACAACGCGACCAAGGATGGGTATCACTAACTAACTGTCCTCGAAACTACGCCCGATGCTGCCTCTCACAGCACCCAGACCCACACCCACACACACAGCCCTCGCCCGCCAGCGCCAGCAGAAACGCCTCCACCGTCGCATCGTGTCCCGCCAGGATCTGCAGGATCAAATCCCCGTTCTCGAACGCCGCCGTCAGATCCGCCGCCCCGGCCCCTGCGCCAGGACTGCTGCTGCTGCGGACGAACAGCTCCTGCCGACTCACCTCCGTCGTCTCCTGCAGCAGGCCCACCACCGCCCGGCACTGCAGCAGTCGGCCGCGCAGCAGATACCGCCGGATGCGGCGCGTCTCGTCCACCGCGATCTCGTACTCGCCGTAGCCCACGAGCACCCCGGGGTCGTTGGTCGGTGACGTGGACGTGGTGGTTGACGCTGGGGTCGGTACTGCTGCTGCTGCTGCGGTGGTGGTTGCCGTCAGGGACAGCTCGTAGGGAATGGCAAAGTCGAACAGCTGCACGGTAAAGTCCACGATCGAGGCGGCGTACAGCAAATGCGTGCCGTCCTTGGGACACCCGGGGCACTGCAGGAAGAGGCGGCACGTCGCCAGCGCGGTCGCGATGGCCTGCAAAAGCAAGTCCAGCCGCGGGGGGTGCAGATGCACCATCGTCGTCACGGACCGCAGGCGGTTCATGTGGAATACCAGCGCGTCGCCGCAGTCGCACGTCGGTTGCATGTGCACCGCCAGCGGACAGCTGGTGATCCCCTTGGTGATGAACTCCTTCTGCAGGAAGGTTGGCGACATGGACGATGTCGCGGTAGTGGTGGTGGTGGTGGTCGTCGTCGTCGGTTGGTCGAAGATGGACAGCGGCGGCGGCGGCAGCGGAGGAGGCGGTGGTGGTGGCACGTACCCACCCGACGGCGGACCACCCATGCAAGACGGATGAGGAGGACGAGGATACCCGAGATGCTGCGCTGCAGCAGCGCACGACTCGTCCAGTAGCGAGGAGACGTCGGTCATGCTGACTCCCTGGCTATCGGGGCTGTTGGAATGGCTGGGCTGGCTGGTATCCTCGGGACTCTTTGCGTAGCAATCGAAAAAACCTCATTAGCTTTCACTCCCAAAAGTACATCCCTAGTAAACAAGCAAAGACTCACCGGCTCTTCCAAGATCCCATCAACCACCGAAGGCGGCTGACTCGATACAAACGGCTCAATATAATTCCACCCGCCATGGAGATTCCCGCCCCCGCCTCCTCGTGAAATCATCGGCTTCCGTTGCTCCGCATGCTGATGCTGATTCTGTTGCTGCTGCTGCTGCTGCTGGAGCTGCAACTGCCCTAATTTCCGTAACGTAGCCCGATTCTTACTCCCCTTGGGTTTCCCAGACCGATTGGCGACGCGATACCGACAGGTCAACCCATGCCGCAGACACCGGATGCACGCCGACGAGGACGAGGACGACGCCGAGGAAGCCTCCTTGCCCCCCGACACGGATAGGTTGCATTTCACCTTGGACTGGCGGCAGTTCTCGCACGCAGCCCGGAGTTTCGGGGTGTTGTCGAGAAGGTTGGTGGTGGTGGCGCCGGGGCCGGGGGTGCGAGGGACGTGATGGTCGGTCTTGATAACCGAGTGTGTTTCGGCCAACATCTATCCTTTTAATTGTTCCCCCCGTTGATTAGGGAGAGGGGCACTTGTCTGGGGTGAACTTGTTTGTTTTTGGGGGGGGGGGGTGCGAGCGCGCGTGTAGCTGTGGATTTGTGTGACCTCCCTTCTTCGATAATTGTGAAAGGGGGGTGGAAGTGGTGGTGGTGTGGTGTGGTGTCGAGTACTTCCGGGTTAGGGTTATTGTTGTTGTTTGTTGGTTGTTGGTTTCAATCACGAGTCCTAGAAATAAAAGGAACACAATGATAATAAGAAACCATGTACAACAAACATACATATACACACAATACACGCAGGGCACACGTTTGCCGGAGTCGATAAGGGGAAGCCTGCAACCTCTCAAACCGACAGTTGTAGAAACGAGATCGGGGAGAGATCACCTTTTTATATATACTTCAGATGCGTTTCCGAGCCACGAAAAGTATAATATGAGCTTGAATCCCATCAGCAGCAGCGCGCGCGCAATCTTATTTATATCAACCACCCACAGTGCTAGTCTTCATCCACCCTTTCCCCGAATGCTGGGCTCTCCGTTGCTTGGTTTGCTGGTTGCTGGCTGCTGGCGGCTGCTGGGCTGGGGCTGACGGACTGACTGAGTGACTGACTGACGGACTGACGGACTGACGGACTGACTGAACTAAATCGAATCGAACTGACTGGTTGGGTGCGGGCTGGGCCAAACCTGCAAGACTTGACCTTCGTATCGCGAAATCCCTAAATGAACGGTAAGCGCAGATGAAGTCAGCCGTCGTGACACCTTAAATCATTCCATCTGATCCACCTCGCATGGGGGGGTGAAAGGGAAAGAAGAAGAGCCGGGGGCCCTCGCGAATCTGAGCGTCGTCGTGGTTTTTTGGACATGTGTGTGTCCAACTGACCTGCCCGTGGATTAATTTTTGCTTCGACATTCTTTATCATCTTACTTGTCGGAAAAGAAAATACACAGTCCAAAAAGAAAAAAAAATAATCAATCTGCCAGATTCGATTTCGGCCATCGTTGCTTGGCTACCAGAACGGCCCAACCATCACCCTCGTCTATTTTCTAACGTAAGAGGTCCAACAAGATAATAAGCTCAAGTGCAACATTGCCTTTCGTTTGTTCGGCAGGCCCAGTCAGTGGGAGGGAGTGTCCCACTCCTCCCCCCCAACTTTAACGCAAATTCTGCTTGAATCCAGATATCCAAGCTGTAAGGCGAAAAAAGGCTATTGTCTCTGACGTAGCATCCAATAGCACTGGAAAAGAAAATTCGGTATGCAAGCCAGCGCATACCATGTGAGCTGTAAAACTGATGGCGGGATTCGTCTGCCCGGTTTGAAATGTCGCAGGGCAAGCGGTGAACATCTGAATATGAATGGAAACCCTTAAGAATTCAACAGTTATAGAATGTTGCAATGGTCAGCAAAACAATGTGGAAATTGAATTGTTAGACAAAATGTCTCGTGTCCCGTGTTTTGACGTCAGCGTCTATTTCTCAGCTCATCTTTGCGATTAATGTAAGAGAAAACAAAAAAAAAATAGGTCCAGTATGGCTAGATTTCCGAAGATGGTGACCAGCGAAAGACCCCTTGTGCGATCCTCGATCCCCTTGCCGGCGAATCACCGTCAGCTCCACGCACAGTGGGCGGCGAACCCGCTGTGTCTGTAATCAAACGCCTTCAGCAACCCGGTCAGATGAGCAATTGCGGCGCAGACCACCAGCACGTGAAAAATCTGATGGGAGCTTCCCCACAGATCGAATTGGCCGGGTCGCAAGCGTTCGGGGACCCGAGCCGCATAGATCGCTGCCCCCAGAATGTACAGGAGACCCTGGAGCACCAGCCAGCCGAGTCCGATCTGGTGTGTCATCTGCTCCAGCCCGTACAGGCTTAATCCGTGGATCACGGGAAACACCGCTGACAGGCCCATGCCGACAAACATCGCCGCCCGGAACGGTCGCCAGCCTGGCGTCCGGAATTGGGGGAAGATCGAGACGACGACGCAGCCAAGGCCAATCGTGCAGATCATACTCCAGTAGAGCCGTTGCAGCGCGGGCTGACAGTAGAAGCCAAAGTACACGCTGGGGATGAAACTGCCCACCGTCAGCCCGACAATGCCCGCGTAGTCGAACGCGTTCCCAATGCGCGCCACCACGGGTGAGTGGTTCGAGATCGTGTGGTAGGTGGCAGACATGCCCAGGCAAAAGGCCGCCCCGGCGAAGAAGCAGCCGAAGACGATCACGTCCGCCTGCGTCGCCGTCTCATACCGGGGGGCTAGTGCCCGATACAGTGCGAAGGCCGCCGGCACGACCAGCAACGACGGTAGCAAGTGCGTGTAGATGTTGACCGTTTCGTTGTGAAGATAGGTCAGGGACTGGAAGGAACCAAGGAAGGAAGCCGAGGCCGGCCGATACCCGCTATGGATGTGCTGGTTGTCGCGCTGCCAATGGGGGAGCTCATCCCAGTGAAGCAGCTTCTTGAGGACTTTGGGAGGCTGTTCCAGCACAGCAGCTGCCACAGCAGCAGGCTGACTCGTGCCCGGGACCTTCGCTTGGCCGTGAGTGGAGTGACGCTGGCGAGTGGCCATCTTCTTCACATGCAGCCTGCGGATACTGTATGTAGGTATGTATGTACAATGACAGATCGATTCCAGGATTGTTTCAATTCTGTCGACGAGGTCGGCGAGGGAAGAAGGGGACCGGTGACCCTGAACTGGATACCCAAAGTGGCACGCTTTCAAGACCAGATAGCCCAGGAGTGACCGGAACCCCCGCTAAAATCACCGCGACCCAAAAAAGAGGTTGATGAGGACAAGAAAGTCGGTTGGGACTCAGCGGAAACTCGCCGCTTCCTCGGGCATTGTTGGGGGCAAAGGACACAGAAACAAACAGCGCAAACCCTGCAAACACGACCGATAGCATACAGTAGCTTCATCCCCATTCCGTCTCCCTCTTCCCTCGAGATGTCAATCTAACCAGCTCTACACATCTCGTCGCTCCTTTGAATATGACTAGTCGAGCGCCCCCGATGCGCAAAACTTCCGGGAGTCGTCTGAAGCCCGTGGCAGATTCCCTGGAGATGGTGGGCTTCGTATCGAAAGGAGACCGGAAGTACGCCTGCGCGCCTTCCAACCCCCACCTCCGGCCGGGCTGACATGCGCAGATTGCTAGACCACAAAGCTCAAAAGGAATATTATAAAAGTATTGTTGAAAGATATATGGAGTTCTGCGCCCTCCATGCGAAGGATATGGACGCTGCCTGGACATCCCTCCCCAGGAGCGCCTCGGATGACGCAACCAAGAACCCGCCTGCTTCCTTGCCCACGAAACCAACAGGAACATCCACTCCTTCGGCAGCATCAGAATTATCTACTATCCTTCTCTCCCTCAGAAAGCTCCGGGAGGCCGTCCTGGCCACTGCATCCACAATCCCTATCATCTTCTCCCAACAGGTCCACCTCTTCTCCGTCAAGATCGCCATCCGAGCCCAACATCCTCCATCGTATACTCCCTCCCTCCGATACCTCATGGAAAAGCTCCACACTCCGTCGCATCCACTTCCAGACTCCGATTTGAAGGAGGTTATCACGTACCAAATCCTTGACTCTGCTTGCCGGCAACAGGACTTGGGTGCCGCTTATGAGCTGCGTGCACGGGCGCGCAGGAAACATGCATTCAATTCGTCCGTGGTCGATGAAGTTCTGCACGCGCTGGCACATGATGACTGGGTTATATTTTGGCGGATTCGTAGGGGAGTAGATTCCAACCTCCGCGCCGTCCTCAACTGGGCTGAGGAACGGGTCCGAAGGCACGCGCTCAAAGCTGTGGGTAAAGCTTATCTCAGTGCCGATAGCAAGTGGATCACAGAAGGTTGTACCGGAGAGAAGGGGTTGACGTGGGAGAGGCTGGTGGAAATGGAGAAGCTCGGATGGGAGAAAGAAGGCGATAAGATTATCATTAGGAGGCCCAAGCAGAAACCCCCGGTCAATCTGACCCCCATCAAGGAGGCTCTGTGATGGTGAATGGCCGAAAATATCATCATATCATTACATCATGGCTTGGCGAATTATGAATCGAGGTTATGGCGTCTGGCTTAGGGTAAGATGTTTGATTTCGTTTGGCCAAAGCACATGGACAAGGAGGGTTGGGCTGGAATGGTTCTTCAATACTGTGCGGCCTTTGTCATTGATTGACATCAGATCTTGAAATCTGCACTTGGCCGGTCCAAGTTCAGGACTCCCGTCACTGGTTGTTTGGCTACAATCTCGACAAGATCTGTTTTGAGCTTCCCAGCCTTCTCAGAGCACAGCTCGTAGAGAGTCGATAAGTTGTACACGAGGCTCGGGAATGAATGCTCTTTTTGTATCAAGGATTCGAAAATTTCACGAGCCTAGAGCCATAGTCAGAATTGTTGCTAATCCATCAATATCGCGCACTATGGAGCTTACCTCATTCAGTCGACCAGTGTACAACAAGCAGACTGCTAGGTTCTGCTGGATAATGGCTTCGTCGGGTCTCTGGCGCTCGCGCTCCAGAAGACTGCGCCATTCGTCGGCTGCCGTGCCATATTGGCCCTCAGCCATACTGAAGAGGGCGTTGAAGAAGCCCTGATCATTTTCACTGCCCTCGCTGCATAATAGCCTGGCACTGTCGAGATCGCCGGTCAACACCAACAGGAGCGCCTTCCTTGCGTTGCGGGTTTCATTGTCTACGCCTGACATGCGCAAACTGTAGAGTGCCTGCTTGGCCGCATTGAGGTCCCCCATCTCGATCAGTGCATTGACGTTCCGGATCCCCAAGTCCGCGAGTCGTTCCCTCCAGAGTTGCCGCTCCGCCGGATCAAGATCTGCCCGCAAGATCTCCCTTCTTGCCTCCAGGCCAATCTCATAAAGACCGCCAATGCCTCTTCGAGAGTCGCCGAACCCTATACTTTGAAGTCGCACAGCTAAAGCCCTCAGAGGCCATGGCACAATATGGCGAGGGTAGCTCGGACCCTTGTCGGATTTATCAGGCAATGGCTCCACGTAGTAGAAAGCAGAGGTCAAGTCTTCGAGGGCTTTAGACTCCTGTGCGGCAATGATGCTGTTCCCGGAAAGCTGTAGGCATGCTAACCGGGTGTAGAACAAAGCAAAGATGCGTTTGATGTCTGTGGGTTTGATCAGAGAAGACCCCAATATTGTTCCACTGAGATGAGCTGCCAGCAAGAAATGACCCGCCGCTAGGAGTTTCTCCAGTTTTTGAAGAGTTGACGATAATGACTCGGTGGAGGCTGGAACGATGAATTCGGAGCGCAATGCATGTGGGATGTCCAGCTGTGACAGGGAGTGATAGATCTCATAGCGAAGAAGGAAGGAAAGGTCTTTCTCCACAGTAGGTGGCAGATCATCAGGAGCAAGTGGATCCAGATTCTCGAAGGAAACACCAAAGACCTCGGTTTGAGCTGCTGGGTTGGATTGCCTTGATGTGTTCACCGTCTCGGTGCCGAGTGGACTGGCTTCATCAGCGTTTTCCTTGACATTGACAGAGTACATCGGTCTGCTTACTCGTCTATCTGGTCCAGTGGACCCTTCGTCGTGCTACGAGGTCGGGAAGCTATCATACATTAGCGGGAGACGACCACTACTTCATCGGAGACTCCTTACATCTAGAAGCATTGCGGCTATGCCTGGAAACAGCTTCCATGTCTAGGGTCAAATGTGGGGGATGCAGAGGCTGAGGAGTATGTACAACAGAGCATATACCGTACCGAGGACCAGGCAGCAAGCTATGGCGCAATCCAATGAAAAGACTCGCGGTGTAGAGGTCGATGCAAGCAATAATTGCAGAGGATGTTAATGTTGTCTGAAAGGCGGAGCGTCGACCATGGGTGGCAGTAATGCGGGAGCCTCGATTCTGCCCCGGTTCTGCCTTGGCGGTGAGGAGGTCGGTCGGATAGACAAACTGGCCCCATCATCAACTGTCAATCGCGCTACAATCTACTCCGTACCCCAACCTAGGATACTGCAGATCAGCATAAAAGAAATCTATCTGATATCGCACAACCGGTCACACCTACTTTCATACGTCCCCGTTACCACACAAAGCCTTTTCCGATCCAAAAATTCCCTGAGCCGCCGCCATGACTCTCGCCGAGGAGTTCCGCACTAGAAACTTCAGTATGGACCTGCATTGTTTACACTTCGACTGATTCGAAGACAGGAAGAGCTAACACACTATCGCTTAGGTATTTACGGTCAATGGTATGTCGCGTTTCTTTTTATTCAGTGACTTCTGTACAGTTCAACCGACTGGGAGCTTCGCAACTACAATGCAAGCAAAAGAATAACTGCTGCCTGGCCCCCAGCATGGACGCTTGGCGCCTCCGTGATGGGAGCTCATTCAATACCCGCCTGCCAAAGCGAAGAGCGCACGCAATACCTGAAGAGCCTTACGAAGCACTATACACGAGGGAGAGTTGGGAGACGTTGAATCGCAGGCCACAAGCGCTAACTTGATCTAAATTAGGACGGGTGTTGTGTGCATCATCCTATGCCTGGCGCTCGGTATCGCCAACATCTTCAGTTTCAATGCGGTGATCATCATCTTCAGCGTCCTGTGTCTGTGAGTGGCTTGGTATCCCGCAACTGGAAGCTGGAGCTCACATATGTTGTACAGTATCTCCGCCTTCATTCTCATCTTCACCGAAGTGCCTTTCCTGCTCCGAATCTGCCCGACCTCGCCGAAGTTCGATGAATTCATCCGCAAGTTCACAACCAACTGGATGCGTGCTGGCATGTACGCCGTTATGAGTGTGGTGCAGTTTCTCAGTCTACTCAAGGATGCCACCAGCTTGATTGCTGCGGCTGTTGTTCTCCTGATTGCGGCCATTTTCTACGCGCTCGCGGCCGTGAAGAGTCAAGAGTTTGTCAGCAGTAAGACACTGGGTGGCCAAGGACTTGCGCAGATGATTGTGTAGAGGCCGTAGGCTTTTGCGCCAAAGGGAGAAACCAACTTATACAATGTGAGCATTCTCCCGGGGTCAATGACAAGCTGATTCTAACGAGCGACTTCATTCAGTCAGAAAGTCTAAAATGGAATGCAAGGCTTCTTGGGCTGGAGTTGAGTGTGATGCGATGATGAGCCGATATCGCATTCTTGCTGCGACGGAGGGGCTATGCACTCCTTTGCTTCGCTTTGCTCTGCTTTGCTTTTCGTGAAACCTTATTCAGCCTCGCTGGAGTCTAGGTTGCTGCTGATGCTTTGCTTGAGCCATTCCTATTACCTTGCCTTGTATCGGTCTGCTTTATTTTTGGCATCGGTTACCTCGTTGAGGTCTTTCGCGATGAGTTTAGATGAATCCTGTAACAACTAGTAGTTCACCGCAGCGAATACCCTACCTACCAGCATCCTGGCGATGAATATGAAATTTGCTATTTCCAAGGCCAATAGCATGTGCTCCGGGAAATCTGTCACCCAGGAGAAGTGGACTAAGCTCGGGCTACCTTCTCTCGAACCGCAGCCCTGGCCCTGAACAGTGCCTGCCCGGCTGTTTGCATTCCCCCTTGACCACCCGGACGGCATCATGCATGGCATGAATATAACCACGGGCATGCGATAGCCGGACTTCAGCCACTCAATCAGCTTGGTTCCTGCACCATCTCCAGCCTTAAACTTCTATCGCGTTCGAGCAATGCCCCTCCGGGTAGCTTTGTTCGTCGTGCACAACTACTTCAATCATCACATTACAGCCGCGCACATATTACCATACTAGTGCAAACAACAACCCCAAGTTTCTTCCAGTTTTCAACAATGGATATGCCTAAGGGACAACTTGGAAGAGCACTAGTGCATCCTCAGGGGCAAGTTCGATACGTCATACCTCTCCCTCTTTCCCCTCGTTTACCCCTCCGTTCTCCTCATCGAGTTAAGAGAAGAGGAGGTCTTCCAATTTTACCCCGCGCTTCCGGCGGCGGCGCGGTTGGCGTCTGTGCTGACCCTATACATGCATGCACGGAGTGAACAAGTTGGAATGATCAGATCACGTTCAATGGGGGTTTTCTAGGCAGCGTGTCTCTCTCTCTCTCTCACCTCTCCGCGCCGTATGAATTTCGAGTGGGGAAACTTGCGCAAGACTCTCCTTGACAGTACTAGCTTCGTTGTCCAGCTAGGCAACTACAGTACTACAGTACTACAGTACAGTAACCAACCCTATCGATAGATATACTGGGACAGCCCCCCTATCATGTGTTGTCCGTAGCTTCGACATAAAGAACGCAGGAATCACGCTGATTGGGCCCTGGGAATGGGGACCTTCGAGTCATCATCTGGAGCTGAGGTCTTCGCTGGTAGGGCCGCGGGGGCCGGATTGTCTGTTTGTGTGGATGCAGTGCCTAGAAACTAGACATTCTGCCTCGTGGCCTTTTTTCCTTGCATAGGGGATACTTGGCGCTGATAGCTGCGTATCGGAATGCTCGGGAGCTTAAGAAGGGGGAAGAGGCGTGATATTATGTATGTAGTTCACTGTGCTGTACTGTACAAAGCGGAGAGTCGAGGTCGGATCTGGTGATATGTTGATATTGGTTGTTGGAGTAGGCATCTAGGCGCATTCTTGGAGGATGGGGTTCAGCTATTGTCTGTTCTGAATTGACTTCGATGGATGTAACAGGTTGTATAATAGTTCACAGGGCTACTGTATGCTGACGTTTGTTTCTGGAGAATACTATGTGCCACCTGAATCCGTATTGATTCTAGAATGATCACTGCCTATCTATCATCGTATTAATTCGATAAGAATCTAGATACTCGTCGCTGCGGCCAAGTAGTATTAGTTGGAGCCAGTCAGTACAAATGGCGCAGCGTTTGTTTATCAGAACCAAAAAGCCGCCTATCGCTAACGCCCAGGATGATACCCCGTGGACGATAAGCCAAACGGCGGCGATGGGCTTCATGATGCAATCATGATGTGGAGCCGGTTGAGTCCAGGCTGTTCACCGCCTCGGGGCTGGTGGGGCCCTGGTTGAGGGGGGGTTAACGGAGGTTGTGGCCAGTCACATCCAAGTCGATACAATCACCTTGGATGCAATACGAAGTACGGAGTACTGTACAGTTTTTACTCTGTAATTCCAGTAGTTCCTCATTGTGTCTCGGCGTGGTCATGACACTTGAAGTGATTTATCGGAAAAATCAATGTCTGCTGGCAATATAGGGGCCCAAGCCTCTGCAACTGACTGACTGATTGAAGATGATATGCATATTTCCTGTTCACCATGAGGGATATTCTGCATCTTCTTTCCTCCCTTACTCGCCCAGCACATCAGCTGTGCGACATCCGACAAACCCTCAAAACGGCGATCAGGCCCATGTGCAGCCAGCCTGCACCGCCACATGAGGGGTCACTTACTAGGTCCTTGTAGATGTGGCATTTGCGCCAGAAAAAAGGGGTGCAAGCTCTTGCTTAATACAGAGTACTCCGTACTTGGGGAGCTGAAGCCGAATCGTCCTTATCAAGTAGCAGCTATGCTACGACCACGGATACCAAACACGCTTTCGAATTCCAGTGTAGTCAAAATTGAACTCAAGGTACCTGGCAGCCGGGGCTGCTGTCGCATGAAAATCAATTAGTAGATAAGTTACCACCACCACCAGCGTGGCGCTTGTGGCTCATAGCTCATCTGGACCATGGTCTGGCCCGGCCGCAGTTTTGTCTCTGGCTGCAATTTGTCGCTCCTTTTCAGTATGGGGTAAGGTGTGATGCAGAGAGGGATTTTCAGCTCTCACGCCAGTCAGTCCTCTCCACTGTCACACGAAATAGGGCGAGGGATTTTTTTTCCCTTCATATTTCGTGACGGACGGAATGGGCCAAAATAGTTCGACGGCGGATCATCAGGTTGATACCAAGTTTCGACAGGTGGGAGGGGGAGGGGCCGCAAGGCCCTGCTGGCCAGTATGAGCTATTATTGAGCTCTCGTGGATGCCACCGGCGCAGGACCAAAGAATACTAGATGCGCATTGTTGGGGAATACTAAGGTGCCTAAATTTATAGGTAGCCGAATCTTCTCCTGCGATTTTCTGTCCCGCGCATGAGGAGTAGACAAGAGTGGACAATGCAGGCGGAAGGGACTGGGGAAATCCTCGAGATATGCGATGCCAACGATTGTAGATCTGTTTGAGGATCCTCTGGCTGATGTTTTTGCTGTTAATATCTGGCCGGGCCATTGGCTTGATCCAATGACCTACAGTATCGATACACTGGAGCTTCTAATCAGTCTCACGATGGTGGAACGGGGCAGGTATCTCAAAGAAAGATTCGAAGGGACACGAAGATCGAGCACCAATGACGAAGGGTAGAAATGGATCGAGAGGAAAATGGTAAACCTAAAAAATGGACCTGGTCCTGGCAATTCAAGGTTCAAGGTTCAAAGTGTTGAATTGAACTTCTCAGTGTACAGTACTCCGTACTGTACTCGAGTACGGGCGTAATTGCAACCAACCAAGGGGTCGTTGGCTCACAGCCTGCGCCGTCAGAGAACGTCACGCGACGGGGCGGTGGGCCGTGGCAGGAAAGAATGCGGTTAGTCTGTCTTTACGGCCACTTTGCGGGAGTAACGAGTAACTTACCTAGTAAGTTACCTTACCTTACAGTAGTTAATCTAGTCTAGTCTCACCCAAGTCATACATCATATCTTCGTCCCATCTTTCCTCCCCCTCGGCTTCTTGCTGAACTCCCTCCTCCCTGAATTCTCATCCCACTCTCCCACAACTTTCCCCTCGTCTATACTCTATCAATCTACTACTACTTACTTACTTCCTTGTTCCTACTCTGATTCCTAAGTATCTTCCCTACTACTATAATTGCTCGACTCCGCATTCCCCCTACTGCCCATCCAATTGACGCCATCTGGTCTCCGTCTACTTGGGCCAATACTCCCTCCAAAGCTCGCCCGCATAAGCATAGCACCTCGCATACTTCTTTTACCACCCTCAAACCTTACCGGTAAGCGAATCACTTCTACTGCTCTTATCAGAGTCCCCAAAAGTCGACTGTTCCCCCTCCAATTTCCAAATCTTTCATGTCTTTGTCAAGGCGATGGCGGGGAATGTCAACGGTGAAAGAAGGTGATCGGCCACGCATCGCGTCTACCTTATCTACTCACTTGGAGAACATGTACATTCCTTGCCCTAGATTGCTCCCCACTCACATCTCAATATCCTTTTCATGAATTTCGATCTTGTCTCCAAAGTCCGTCAAACAATAGACTACGTACTGTCTTCCCCCCTTTCCATGGCGAACCGAGCGCATATACAGTGACCGATGCAAAGCTGCCCTGTGCTAGCGTCTTCACCCGCCCAACCATTGACACGCACCCTCGCTAGGATTCATGTGACTGGGGATCTCTATCCCCCATAGATCCGTAATCAACTGACTTGACTGCCAGAGTTGACCTTCGAGCTCAGATTCAATCTGTCATTTGCCTTACTAGCAACCCGCCATGACTACACAAGCAGCCCCCGCCATTCCCCCGCGGCCGTCGAGGTCTCCACAGCAGAATCTTGCGCCCGCCTCAGCAGAAGGCCCCAAGATCCCTCCTCGTCCATCCAATCGTGCCGAGCGCTCCGTATCTCCTTTTCCTGATAGCTACGCCCCGTCTCCTCTGAACGATTTGCCCAACGGATGGGGCCTGAAACGAACTACCTCGAATGACCTACCCCAGAGACCCCCTAGTGTCACGATACCTTCGCTTGGTCAAGAGGGCATTGAATACCAGGACCTGGATGTGGCCAATGTGTCCGAGGCCCAGCAGGCTACACCGCCAGAGACCCGGAACGTGGGAAGCGATTTAAAGCTTCATGCGCCAAGACCGTCATTACCCACTTCCAGCGCCAAGGCAAGGGTGCAGGCTGTGACACGTACAGACTCCCGTCAGGCTGCAGCAGCAGGCCTGGGGCGTGCTCCATCTCCTTCAAATGACGATCATCCTGAGCGGCCCACCCGCTCACTGCACTCGCGAGCCAGCGGCTCACGTGGTGACTCCTCAACCATGTCCGCGGATCGTCGACAGTCGTTCCACGGAGAGGAGCATGGCATTCCGGAGATCGGACAGAGAGTCCCGATGTACCCTAATGCCGGCGATGTGCAAGCTCCATCCCCGAGCCCTTACCTGGAACCCCAGGAGAAACGCTCTGGACGCAACCATCACCGCACTCGCAGTGGCCGCGAGGCATCTCTGCCTCCTGGCAGCTATGGTCTGCACGGTCATGGTGTTCCTTCAAACGACAAGTTCGAGAAGGCCTGGTATGAGAAGCACCCGGAAGAGTTCGTTCGAGAGGAGCAAGGCCAATATGGCCCAGGTGTTGGTACACCACGGCCCGACTGGGCCTTGAGCAGCGACGATCTGAACAAGATTGTCCGTGGCT